GACTGAGCCCCCCAGGCGCCCCGATACAACTGATTTCATAGCGCCAAGGGGAGGAAGGGAAATGATGGGTGTGTCTAGTTCCGTGACCAGCACACTGACAGGCTCCACCAGAGGCCAGTAGTAGAAGCTGGGGGAGGAGGGGTGGAGGCATGTCCAGTGGTGACAGCAGGGAGAGAAGAAGAGGGGGCTATGATACGGTGCTGAGTAGTGGCAATCACAACTGGTGGTAGTTACCAGCCAGGTAATTCTCGACTCTCCTTCACACGCTCAGAGGATATCCTGCCTCACCCAACCTCTACCAGAAGAGTCCCAGCAAAAGGGAGGTGCATGGCAGTGCAATTCTGCAGACCCACTAACTTCCAAAGGCCTGGGACTGGTAAGAACTATTGAGACCCTATAATCCAACTGTACTAGGTTGAATAGTATGCCCCCCCAAAACTCACATCCACCTGAACCTCAGAATGTGACCTTATTTAGCAACGAGGTCTTTGCAGATGTAATTAGTTAAGGATCTGGATGAGGGGTGGGCCCTAAATCCAAGGATGGCGTCCTTATGGGAAGAGGGGAGGACACACTGAGACACCCCAGGGAAGATGGCCATGTAGAGGTGAAAGCAGAGATTGGAGCTATGCCTACCACACCAAGGAATACCAGGAGCCACTGGGAGCTGGAAGACAAGGCAAGATTCTCCCCTAGAAACCTCAGAGGGAGCATGACCCTGCGGTCACCTTGATTTCAGACTCCCAACCTCCAAGCTATGAGAGAATAAATTCCTGTTGAGTTTAGCCACCTGGTTTCCAGCAACATGTTGCAGCAGCCACCTTGGGGAACGATACCCCAACCATCTGGATTTACACAGGAGGAAACCCAGTCCCAAGGAGGGACATCACCGTCCACCCACAGAAATGTCGCAGCAAGGCGGGAACCACAACAATGCCCTGACCACCCCCCCCCACCCCCAGGGCTCTTCCCTCGTTTTAGGGAATCCTCCAAGCCTCGGACTCGCGACTTTACTTCTAGGTTAGGACCAGAGAAGGGCCCGTTCTGACCCACTGGGCACCTGTCCTCCCCAGAGAGCACTCAGTGAAGGGGACCCGCTCCTCCTGAGAACGACTTCCGGCTCGCTTGCAGGTAAGAGCTCTGACTGGTTCATCATCCTGAGACTGGTGAGTGTGGGCGACCCACGTAGGAGAATGCAGTGCCCCAGGGTGGATGGCGCAGAGCTCCCTGGGATGCAACGTGGGGTCAAGGGACATGGCCTGCTGACCGTGATGGTGCCCAACAGGGAGGGAGCCAGCCTCAGCCTCCTCCTTCCGGTGCGGGATCCGGAGGGGCAAAGGGAAGTTAGCCTTGCCCTCTCAGAATCGGACCTGACTTAGATCATTTAACTTCTCACAGCAGCCCTGGGAGGTAGGTACTTTTATCAGCAACCCATTTCAGACATGAAGAAACTAAAGGTAAAAGAAGAAACAACTTCGGTGGGCCAGGATTTTTACCCAAATCTCTCTGACTCCACAGGCCACCGAGTTCTTCTGTTCTCATGTGTTGTGCTGTACTTTGCCATGAAATTAGCCTAATGAATTAAAAAAAAAAAAAGTTAACTATAAACCTGGATTATCTCTTCACTGTAGTGTTTTAAATCAAATATATACTTTTCTTTGTTTGGGGATGGGAAGACTAACTCATAAAGTAACTGGTGAGCAATATAAAAATATATTAAATCACTAAACAGGGAGGACCTGAATGTTCTGTGTGGTATTCAGAAAGAAAAGAAGTAGATTATGCTAAGCGAAATAAATCAATCAGAGAAAGACAATTATCATATGATCTCGCTGATATGTGGAATTTGAGAAACAAGGCAGAGGATCATAGGGGAAGGGAGGGAAAAATGAAACAAGACGAAATCAGAGAGGGAGACAAACCATAAGAGACTCTTAATCTCAGTAAACAAACTGAGGGCTGCTGGCTGGAGTGGAGGGGGGTGGGAGGGATGGGGTGGCTGGGTGATGGACATTGGGGAGGGTAAATACTATGGTGAGCGCTGTGATTTGTGTAAGACTGATGAATCACAGACCTGTACCCCTGAAACAAATAGTACATTGTATGTTAATTTAAAAAAAAAAGAAGAGGTAGAGAAAAGATGAAATAAGACATAGGCTGTGGGCACCAGAATGGACCTCAGTGGTCAGCAAGCTCACCGCCCCCCTCCCTGTATAGGGAAGGCCCAAGAGGGCAAGTGAGTTGAGAGCCATGAAAGCCATGAGCCAAGACAGCGCTTCAACCTCACCTTCCACCATACACATACCATGCCCTCATTACGTGGAGCGGCCTGTCCGGGCTTTGGGTTTTGCTCATGCTGTTCCCTCTGCTTGAAGTGACTGGAAAGGGGGTGCCTGGGTGGCTCAGTCGGTTAAGCATCTCACTTTGGCTCAGGTCATGATCCCAGGGTCCTGGGATGGAGCCCTGTGCCAGGCTCCCTGCTCAGCGGGGAGTTTGCTTCTCCCTCTCCCTCTGCCTCTCCGCCCCCCCACCCCCACTCTGCTCTCTCGCTCTCTCTCAAATAAGTAAATAAAAACCTAAAAAAAAAAAGAAAAAGAAAAAGAAATGACCGGAAAGAACAAGCGCTAAGGCTACTCCCAGTGCTGTACCCACCTCTAATTTCATCTCTGAAACGACCTCCTCGATAGGTACTCTTACTGGCCTCAGTTGACAGCTGTGGGAGATGGAGGCACAGAGCAGATAAGTAGCCTACCTAAAACTTCACAGCTAATAAGGAGCAGAGCAGGAATTCCAACCCAAGGAATCCGATCCAAGCCCTTGCTCTTTTCTGTTGAATTCTACTTTCTAGAATGCCCTAGCCACTTCCTCCCAGCCTCTGTTCAGTTCATTCCTTTGGATATCTCAAAGACCTATATAGCTCAAGGGTGCTCAAATTTTTCTGTACAAAGACTTCGTGTCAGAGGAGAAGGATTAGGTACTCCCGGGGTCTGGAGCCATCGCCTGGAGGAGCCTGTCATGGAGGAAAAATCTCTTTGCAGTCTTCTGTTTTCATTTAAAAACTCATCCCAGTGTTGTACTCTTCTATAGAGTATTTGCATGCGTGTTTTTTTTTTTTTTAAGATTTTTATTTATTTATTTGACAGAGAGAGACACAGCGAGAGAGGGAACACAAGCAGGGGGAGTGGGAGAGGGAGAAG